GTAAAGCTTCCTAAAGGGGCAAAACCACCACGTGGGGCACGGAAATCCTTGGGGAATTTAAGCGAAAGTTGCTGGGGGGTTTTATGGACTTGTGTGCAACACCAGTTAAAATTTCTGGTGCACGTGATAAATGGGCGTATGGGCTCGAATTGTGCTCACTTTGGCGGCAATATAAGCCACCGTATGCGAAGAATCCAGCATCGCATTAACATGCCACCAAAACGAAAGAAGAGACATTGATCGTGCCAGGGCTATGGCATGGCTGCAGGGTGGAGTTTTGGAGCCCAAGAAGTTGCCAGAAGGCTGGCAGTGTCATACTCTATCATTGTCCGCCTCGCCATCAAGCCACTGTATCCGGTCGACCCAAAAAGACCACTCAGAGAGAGGACCGATATGTCCGCATGCTGGCCCTGCGACAGAGGACAACGAAAGCCAATAGCATCAGGCGTCGTCTGCGTGCTTCTACCAACACAGCGGTGAGCTCCCAGACCATTCGGCGTCGTCGTCTGCTTGCTGCCAACATCTGTGCCAGGCGTCCAATCAAGAAACCGAGGCTGACCGCAGGACACCATAGAACCCCTCTTTACCCTGTTGATGGTATTCTGAATGGCAAACGGTACATGCAAGAGATTCTGCAGCCACGGGTTTCCAGCGCATTGGCCAACTTGCAATACTCCAGGCTCCAAGACGACAACGTCACCCCACATCGTTGCATTGGAGTAAACGCTTTCATGAGGCAAACAGGGATCACAACAATGCCATGGCCAGCCAACAGTCCCGACTTCAACCCCATTGTGAACGTGTGAGGTGAACTTGGCCAGAGAGTCCAGCAGCACCAGCTATCACCAGCTATCACCAGCTAACCGACAAGAGTTGCTACAGATCCTGTAGCAGGAGTGGGCAAACCTTCCTCAGGCCTTCATTGCCACCACCATCAACACCATGCGGCAACGCTGCCTTGATTGCATTGCTCGGCGCGGTGGGCACACCCGATTTTGAACGGACTGTAACGGACACTTATTCACGGATTTTTTTTAATGAGGTGTACTGTTGATAACTGTTGTTCCGAGCAGCATATTGCCTAAGTTCATGACGTCATCATTCTGAAATTGAATTGATTTTGTTAGAAGAATGATTCCATTAACTATCTTTGAAATTTCATACACTTTGTTTTTCTCCTATTTGTGCTTCGAGAGTGTTTGCATGGTCCTTAACTTATGTTGAAGTCTGTATCTAACACTTGCATAAATCTGTTTTTTAAACTACGGGGCAAAGCATCTCAGATCTTGGGATAAGTGTACAAATACATAGATACCATTTGAACGCATGCGTGCGTGCGTGCGTGCGCGCGTGAGTGCGAGCGCGTGTGTATGTGTGTGTGTGGGTGTGTGTGTGTGGGTGTGTGGGTGTGTGTGTGTGTGGGTGTGGGTGTGTGTGTGTGTGTGTGTTTGCAAGTGTGTGCAAGTCTGTGCAAATGTGTGTTTGTGTGAAAAGGGGTGAAATGGTATAGATTTACACCCCTGTCAACACAATCTTATTTAAAAGGCGGGGCCTCCTAGTTTAGCGTCCATCCCCGAAAGGACTGAACCAAATATATTATTATAATTCGCGTAAAGTGCCTTTCCCAAGGATGCAACGTCAGACCGAGCTGAAACTCGAACCCCCGAATCCGCAATCTCACAATTAAGAATCCGGTAGCCTATACCCACAAGGCTACCGACGCCACTTGTGTGTGTGTGTGTGTGTGTGTGTGTGTGTGTGTGTGTGTGTGTGTGTGTGTGTGTGTGTGTGTGTGTGTGTGTGTGTGTGTGTGTGTGTGTCCTTAT